CGAGGTCGCGGAGCCTTGGTTCTCCAAGTGGGAGCGGCAGTGCCTGGCCGAGGCCGAGCAGGAAGAGCAGCTGCCCCCCGAGCTGCAGGAGGAGGCGACCGCTGAGGCGGCGGGGCTGAAGAGCGAGCAGCAGAGGCTGTGGCACCTCTTCCAGAACTCTGCCACGGCCGTGGCCCAGCTCTACAAGGATTCCGGGTGCCAACAGCCAGGACTGTCCATGTGGGACCCCTTCCAGAGTGCGGCCATGGCCGTGACCAGCCTCTACAAAGAGAGCGGGGATGCCCACCAACGAAGTTTCGACCTGGGCGTCCAGGTTGGCTACCAGCGTCGCATCAAAGATGTGCTGGAGTGGGTGAAGAAAGGCCGGAGCACCATTCTCCGCGAAGACCTGATCAGCTTCCTGTGTGGCAAAGTGCCCCCCGCGCCTCCGCGCCCCCCCAGGACGCCCCCGAAGCCGCCCGCCGGGGCCGCCAGCCAGGCCGCGGCCACCGAATCCAGCTCCTCGGTGGAGGTCGACTTGCAGCCCTTCCACGAGGCCATCGCCCTGCACGGCCTCAGTGGCGCCATGGCCAGCATCAGCGTGAGATCCGGCACCCCCGGCTCCCCGCCTCAGGCCGGCGGTGGCGCCAGCAGCGCGCGCCAAAAAAGTAGCTTCCTCGAAGACGACTCGAGTCCGTGCGACTCAGAAGAACTGGCCCTCCGCCTCGACAGTGCGGGCAGCCGCAAGCGCACCTCGGCCCACTGCGGCGATGGCCCCTCAGACTCCCCAACCCACAAGCGCAACCGAGTGGTCTAAACTGCCTCACTGCCTCGTTGGTCGCCAGCCGCCATATTGCTTGAGCGCTAACTCGACCGTCAACATGCTTGTCGAAAGGATACTCGAGACCATCTCTTCCTTCTCTAAGTTAAACAAAGATTTCTATGAAGTTTGCCACAAAGAAACTTTAAAAGTATTCCAGAAGAGGCCTCGTATGACTGACTTTCCCCAAAATATAATCCTAGCAGAGAACAAGTATAATGTAGTAGTTAGCAAGATCATTTAAAGCAGAAGTATCCGGTCAAGGCGAGAGCCTGGATTATCTTGTTCACAGTTATATTCCTTAGCACCTAGTACAGTTGCTGGTGCTCAATAAATGTTTGTTGAATGAATAAATGTGACCTTATTTAAAATTCTTAAAGGGGAAGGACTAACAGATGTTTACTTGGTGATAGGATACTTTTATCCTTTATCATTTGGTTGGTTGGTTGCTTTAACCGTTTTTGCCAGTTCAATTACATTTTGTCAAAATGTAAAACTCGACGACTTTGTGAAATCTGGAGTCTTAACATTTTTGCTCCACTGTACCGTGCACCTAATTTCTAGGAAGAGACTGTGCGAGTAATACATATTAGGCTGTGAGGTTTTTAAAAAAAGTAGTTGATTATTTTGGTGATTTTGTGATGGTGTAAAGAAGTGCTATAATGGTTGGACAGGTCATACTTGATATTGAGTCAATTCAATGCTCTTTTTAGGAGAATTAAGCCAACGATTGACATCCTGAGATCAAAGATGGTGTTCCTGGTGGCCCAGTGGTGCTCCTTTTTCTTAGGAATGTAAAAAGTTCTTTTTTCTGAGGTTACATCTTTTTGGTGATCTCTGTTTTGAAGTGGAAGACAAAATAGTCAGAATGAACTTCTGGGTTTTATTTAAGGGTACAGCATGACATAACTAAAAGAGCATGAGTTTTGTATTAAAAGGACCAACAGTAGAATCCTAGCCCCACAGATTCACTGCATGATTTTGGGCAAATCGCTTAATGTCTATTGACGTCGGTTTTTCATCTGTGAAGTGGAACTCTGTGTCTCCTGAGGTCGTGAGGATAAGATGAAGTCCATATTTCAAGTATTTAGTACAATGCTTGGCACCTAAAAGTACTCAATAAATGTTCTCCCTTCTCTGTAAATAAAAATCACTAAAACATTAAAATTCATTATATTTTAGAAAAAGCAAGAAAATAGATAAATTTAGAAATCAGAAAGTAGAATCTCTGTGTTTGAGCTGGAAACTACTGTTATATAGTTGGAACTTGCCTAAAGATCCCAGATCTTGTATTAATTATAAGTGTATTTAGCTCGTGAGTACTCAGAATCATTACTCTGGATATTAGAGCAGTCTTGGAGTTCCTGAAATTGCCTGAAGGATGCACCTTGCGACGAGAGTAATGAAAGATCTACCTCCTCTGGCCTAAAAGAATATGGGGAAGGGGGTAAGAGTGAAAAGGATTTGGAAGTGGAAGTCCTAGGGACGCCTGAAAGGCCCAAGTGCTTCTGAATAGGGGTGGGGTGGAGTAGCCGTGATGAAAGAGCTAGAGGGGGTAGGGTGGGGATGGAGGAGGTGGGAGTGAGGTTATGAAAGGGGTGGGGAGGAACTTAAAATGCCCAGATCTCCTCAGGCTCTCCCCAAACCAGCACAAAATATTATAGATCAATGACTAATACCTTGCCTTTAGGTTCATATCAGAGAGTTTCTTCTGTTTCATTAGTGTGGCCTTTGGAGTGCATTTGTAATCGACCAATGCATTAAAATAATACAACAAAATAAAGTGAATTCCCTGATAGTATAAAAACGTGCTATTGAGGCACTCCACAAGTACTTACTGAGGCACTGTGCTAGGCCCTGAGAAGGGATATAAAAAAACAGTCCTTATCTTCAAAGAACACATCCTGGCTTGGAAGATAAATTAATGTAGTCAAGAAAGCACTTCTAATTGTATAAAAAGCACCCAAGGGCTATGCAGAAGAATTCAGAGAATAGAGGCCCTCTTGCCAAGAGGGTCACAGCTTCTGGAGGAGGTAGCATTTGAACTGGGCCCAGAAAAATGGGTAGGAAAGTAGGGCACGGGGGATACCAACAGGGGAAGGATATCTAACAAAGTTTGAGAAAGAGGAAAACAGTCAAGTGGGCTCAGGGCATCACAAGAGCCGGGTAGGGGAGGCAGGGGACAAAGTATAAAGGGTCTCAAATGCCTGGCCTAGTACTTTAGATTCTATCCTGGGGCAGGGGGTGACACCACCCAATCTGTGCTTTAGGAAGATTGGTCTGGAAGGATGCCTCGTTGTCCAGCAGCGAGACACTGGAGCAGGGATAGCACGGGGTATCTCTGTAGGATTCTCTTTACGGTGGATGTCGCCATTTGGTTAACCAGGGTACACACAGAGATGTTGACCTTGACATGGCTTTCTCTGGGAAGTCTTTGGTCACTCACACCCTCCCGCACCTCAAACCATACCAGGTGAGAAGCACCTCTAGTGTGTGTTCTGCACTGCTTCTTGAAGGCTGAGAAAGCCTTCGTTTCCAGCTGCAGAATCTCTTGGAGAGCTAGTCTTGAAGAAACAAAATAGCCATGCCTTCTGTCATTCTTCCCTCTTCTTGTGTTCAAGAGCACTCCCCCAGTGGAATCACTGGGGCATTCAGGGCTACAGGACTGGCTGGGCAACTGCAGCAATTTTAACAGGTAGGTATGGAGAGTTGTAAGAGGGCATGTCAGTGTGAGGACAGGGACCTCATTTTTCTTGTTTCCTTCTGTAATCCCCAGTGCCTAGCACGGTGTCCGATCCATATGGGCACACAATAAATATTTGTTAAATGAGTGGAGGAGTGAGCACCCATCCAGACGCAGTGATAGCTGTTCCCCTTCTCCCTTTCTCTGTTTACATACTGCCCAGGAAAGGCACCTGAAGCCCATGTTCTAATTTCTAGATGATTCTCCCCCGCATGCCTTTATCCTCGTTCCTAACTATTAGATTCAGCTTTTTGCAAAGTGTGGTCAGTCCCATGACCACCTCCCTTGAGAATCCCCTGAGTTGCTTATGAAGCTGGCAGCTTTGAACCACCCTCCAGGTAAATTAAAATCTCAATGGAAGGGTCCGGAAGCAACCTGCTTTCAGGAGGAGGTCCAGGTGATTGTGAGGTGATTGTGATGCACAGAGAAGTCCGAAACCCGAGTGACCTCATTGTGAGATTTGTGATTGATTGATTCAAGGAAGTAATTTTACTTATTTATCCAGTATCTAAGGGCCTGAATAAGAAGGGGTTGTTGAGGCAATCAGCAATTCTGTGACCTTAACATGTGATGCCACTGGAATCCCGCCCCCCAGGATAGCATGGTTAAAGAACCAGAGTCAAGTCTGAGACCCGAGTGAACCCGTTGTGAGATTTGTGATTGATTCATGGAGCTGATTTCAAATTGATCATTGTTGGTGAACTTTCTGTGCAGGCGAATCTCCCCATTGGTACATATTTATCATCACTTTTCTTATTTCATACGTTTTCTTTCTAGGATTGCAGATGAGAAGACTAAGGCACAAAGTTGTAATTAAGTGAAATTTCCTCATTTTTGCCTTTTATGGGAGCCTGAGCGAAGGCTCTGATTTCCTAACCTCTAGCTGAGTATTTTATCCATTAGACCACTGCTTCCTGATCAAAAATTATGAAGAGTTAGAAAGCACTGCAATTAGATCACTTTGCCTTGTATAAAATGATATAAATGGAAGGATTGGTTGTTGATCAGCTTGGGCATTTGTGGAGGTTTACAGACCCCTTCTAGTAGCATATGCATGGTGGGATCCTTCCCAAATTTAGAGCCAAGAGGGACCTTAAAGATCATCTAGGGCAGGGTCAACTATTCAGTTTACAGATAGGGCAGCTGACCTCACCAGGGAGGGCCCCAGTGACTTATTGGTAGGACTACTCCCCCATACCAGATTCTAGTCCAGTGCTCACTTCACTGTACCTCCTTTAGTTATATTGTGTATGACCTTTTAATAAATACGTTGATCGAACGGGGCTAGGATACTCATATTGCGAAGCCACTCTGGCGTGGCAAGCATACTGTCTTTACTATGTTGTGTTGATTTGGGGGAAGCTGTTGGAGTTACGCATTCAGGGAACACAAGTCGCCCCTTGCCACCGCCACTACACTCTAGCCACAAGCCAAAGTGGACCACTTGAATGCCCTGCCCTAAACTCCTTTCTGCCTACTTCACTCCTACTCAGCCTTCAAAGCTCACCACGGGATTTACCTTTTTGTTTTGCTGATGTCTTCCTTGCCCTTCCAAGTTGGGGTTAAATGCCCCTCCCCAAAGTTCCCACTTTGGACTCATCACTGTACTTGTCAATTTGTGTCTTTGTCTCCCCCACTAGACTGTAAACCATTAAGCCTCATCTCAAGGGAGTCTCTTCCTTAGGGAGGTGTGTAAGAATCTTCATTACTGCATGTGTAGGTTGGAAAGACATATTCAGCATTATGCCATACTTTTATATTTTTTAATGAAAAATTATTTTTGTCATTAAATTAAATTATGGGAAAGAAAGCTCAACACAAAACTTTGGAAGAGCAGTTTTATTCTATGGGGCATTAAATGTGCTTCCCCAAAGAAGCGTAGCGTATAATAAGTTATCAATGTTCTTTCTCATTTGTAGATATGATTGTAGTGTCTCAGGCATCAGTGGCGAGCATATGGGATGCAGGTTTAAGCCTTGACTTTCCCAATAACTGAGCTTGAGCGAGTCAGTCCTTTTTTGCTTGGTATATGAAATAAAGGAGTTAGTTGTATTAGATGATCTATAAGGTCTCCACAAGCTCTGCCACTTTCTGACCTGTGATTTAATTCAACAGGCAGTGGTAGTCATAACCTTCTTTGCATGATATTCCCGTTTTGATAATCTGGTGTCTGACCAGCTGAGCTCTGTGAGCCCCTTGAAACCAGGACTGCCATGTTGAAACAATTCCAAGCCAGGAGACTCACTGAGTGGGAATGGAATGGCCACCTGTAAGAGAGGAATGTGTATACACAGAGCAGGCTTATCTCTCTTTCTTTTGGTTCCATCTTACTTAGCAGGTCAAGAATTAAACAATTTCAAATGCTTAAGGGGCATATTACAGTCAAATGTCCCCTTATTTGGGCACCTTTCTTTCTCAAAAATAGTAAGTTGAGCAGGAGGATGTGACACAGAGAGGAATTCATAGACTCATTGGACTAAAGGAGGATCTGGAAGGCTACCGAGTCCACATGCCCCAACTCTGGTGAGAACTGGAATGGAAACCATCCTGGATCCATGAGCTGCTCTCCTCATCTTAAAGATCTTTAAGGAGAGTCCAAAGCCTTCCTCAGGAGCTGCCAGGCAGGTCTTTCTGACAACAACCCCAGATTCTTCGGAATATAGCCCGGTGTGCTGCCATCCTTCTGTTGTAGGCTAATTGCAGACAAGCTGGCTATCCATCTCAGTGGAATAATCTTCCTGCAGTTTTCAGAAGTCTCATCTCCAAACATT